CCCCTCCCACCTCTCTCGGACAGTCGCGTTCTCGTTGCGTAATCGAAACTCGCGGTATGAACGAGCGACCAAGAAAAAAGAAGTTGACGGCATCGTAACTCGAAACTCGGCCACGACACGGCGGTAATTCCATACGTTCGAGAGCGATATTTTCTCAGATCGCGGCTCACGGTTGGGACGCGATTATATAGCGAAAGGAAGCGCGATTGTTTATTAGAAATTTATATGACGAACGAAATATCCGCCGTGTCCGTGTATGCGAAGCGCTTTATGTCTCCCGGAGGGCATTCTTCGGCACACACGTCGATAATAAGGCTTTATCATGACGTACGTTCAATACGAAACGACTACTTATCGGGACTCATCGCGGCCTCCCGGAGAGAAGAGGAGTATTAAAATAAATAAAATAAGTATCTTGCTTTGTTACCATTATGACTTTCTTCTATAGAAACACGCACGTCCTTATTACGACACGAGTGTCAGGGACCGATAGTTGCTGCAGAAATTCGCGATACATATCGAGTACCTCCGAATATCTTCGTCCGATAACAATACGGACTGTGAGGTAAAGGCGTGCGCGAATCGCGAGCCGATTTCCTGACACGCATTCGAGGGAAAAGTACGAATGCCTGGACACGTATCTAACTTTTGGCGTTTCTATTGTTCTGGCCTTTAAGTGTGAACATACCTTAATTCGCCTTAAGCGTAGCCTACGATGGGCGGTAGAAGTATGCACATAAGGATGTAAAAATAAGAAATCGACCGGTCATATTCGAATGTAAGGAGAATAATCGGCTGTGATCGGTGAATTTCTTACTCCTCACAAAACGTGCTCCCACTACTCACTGTAGACCACATTTTACTCGTTCTCGGGAGAGATTCGCTAATCCATACGCGCACTCACGCGAGGCATTTTTATCGTTCGCGTGGCTCAGCTTAGCTTCGATGCGCACAGATGGCGGACCCCATACCGACATTCACTACTCGCGGGGTCTGATCAATATTCACATTCTACCACTTAGCCGGAGCGTGCGAGAAACTGCGGATCGAAAAGAGCGCCGAGGCGTGCGCGCGGTTCTCAAGCGCGGGGAAACACGCCGCTCGACTCGAGAGTTAAATCTCGAGAGAGACTTTTACGGGAGACAACGGAACGTTCTCTTCCTCGGGGCGTAGGCCGCGAGGCGACTTGTATATCCGGATCTATTGACGGCAATTCACGTGTGGTTCGATACGCGATTATGTCGGGGACGTCTCGCCCGGCAGGTCGGATCTTCAGGATCCGCGTTGTCAGGGTGATAGAGACCGTTTCCTTTTTACGATCCGGAACGACGTGCACAGTCCCCGTCCATTTTACTGGACGCAGCTTAATTTTTTTACAATTCACTGACCATTCCATTGAAGACCAGCTTTGTAATACGGCTCATCTACCGAATTATGTTAAGGTGCTGTTATTCTATAAAAGGGTTTTTTTTTTACGTCATTCCAATTGTTACAAGGACTTCGAACAAGTATGAACCCGCGCTAGTTGCGTTTATGAATAATAACGAGAGCACGTGAGTTCTGCGTATGCGTGTCAATCGAAATTTAGCATCATTTTTGCTTATTCGTGACATGAAGCTGCGAATTCCTCGCTCACCAACGGAAAAATCAGTTCTCGCGTGAGAAATATTAATATTGTTTGCGAAGATTATGAGTGAAACAAGTGATTTGACACCTCGGGAGGTTGTAGAGGCAGAAACGCTGATTGGCTCCCGAAAATTATTCCAATCGAGCGAACATAAAATTAGTAGTTTTTCTTCACCTCCTAACTTGTATTCCATTAAAAAATCAGTGTGCGTCTAATAACGTGGCCAGGGGCTGTATGTCGGGCCGACATTGACGCGGGGTCCTTTAAAGGATCGCCGCGGGGAGAGATACACGAGGATCGTCCCGTGTCAGGCAATATTCCGTCGACCCTCGCCGCCAAATAACCGTGAGAGGTCCGCGCGGGAGATGCGTGGGACGCGGATAAATTCGTCCACGGTGATCCGGAGCGCGCGAATTCCTCGTGCGTCAGGTCACGAGGTCAGCGTGCGTGTGTGTGTGTGTGTATACTTCTTCTTCTCCTTTCCGTCCGATTGTTCCTCGTTCGCGTTCGAAGTAATTTCCCTATCTGCCGGGAAGTATGCGCCTTGCACGCCGAGGTCTTCTCTCTCTATCACTCTAAGTTTGTCCGCGAAATATCATCCCCTTACGTCAGAGCGCGACGCGCACAACAACAGCAACCCGGATAAATTCCCCGCGTGAAAGTTGCCGTTGTTGTTCGGACGCACTTTGAAAATAAGGCTGGCGCGTTCGCGAACTCCGTGGCAACTCAATTATTGATGTAACGAAGCCTACGTTGCGGCCGTTGCAGCACGTGCTGCGAATCGAGCGCAATCAGAAGGGTAGGGGGAGAGGGGCAGGGACGACTTCGCGCGCGAGAGAGAGGAGTAGAAATATCCGTTGCACGCAAATAGCGTTCGCCAAGCCCGTTCTCGTGTTCTCGTCGTTGCGACGTTGCAATTCTGCGATGCGGAATTAAGACGGATACGCTTCGGCGAAAAGTATGATTCCCCACCTTCGAAACGATCCTTTCGCGTGCGCGGCTACGTCTTGTCGTGTGTGTGTGTGTGTGTATGGGCGGGCGGAGAAGGGCGACTCTCAACGATCCGAAAGCGGAATGACGAGAGCCCGGTAGGTTTGATTTAATAATTTGCTACTGTGCGCGGCAATTCCACGTCCTTCGTAATAATTCGGCGACCGTGATGCAACGTCGTCCGCTGTCGACGCGCCGAAAGAACGGTTGGAGGCGAATGTTCGACGTCGCGATGTAATTTTCACAGTTTTGATCTAAACCGATATGTTCCGCCGATTTGTCCGCGCTATTCTCTGCTTCTCTCTCTCTCTCTCTCTCTCTTTCTTTCTTTCTTTCCCTCTGTCCACACCACTATATTATTTAATGCCATTTTTCAGCGATAACTAGTTAAATGTTTAACTGTAAACTGTGCAAATGCTCGGGAATGTTTTACGTCTGTCACGTGCGTTGTACCAATTGTTTCACGCTGTACGTCGAGTGGATTTTCAACCCAAGGCTGTATAACAAACTTCATTCTATTCTTTCTCTCTTAATTTTTTATTTCTATATCGCCGTTGTATCTCAGAGAGGAGGAGGAGGAGAATATAGAGAAGCTCCTCCGCGGTATATCTCTCGCGTGCGTTTCTTTCGCTCGCGGCGACTTACGAGCCGCGGTCGGTTTGCAGCTCCCGAGGCGCGGAGAGATCGAATTTATTGTTATTGTCCGGGCTAAAGGGTGATTTTTCAGGGAGACGTCGAATACGCAGTTAGAAATAACGTAGATTTATCGCCCCGGCGATGAAACGCGAAAGAAACGAGATCGCTGACGAGTCACCCCGAGGGACACACGCGATGCGGAAGGGGAACTTAACGACTAATATCGATTTTCTCACTTTTATAAATGCCACACAGACAGAGGTGGGACACGAGAACCGCGGCGGAGAATGAGTCCGTGTATTACGCGCGGATGAATCCCCTTACAGCATATAC